CGGGCGGGGCGGGGCGGGGCGAGCGCGTCCGGCGCGGTTTGTCCCTTGCGCCGCGCCGTAGCCGCCCTTCCCCAACATGGCGGCGGCCGTCGGGGCTGGCGCAGCGCGGCTGCTGCTGCACTTCGACTTCCCGCCGCCGCGGAGCCCAGGCTGCGCGCGCTGCTGGCTGCTGCTGGAGCCCGGTCAGGCGCGCCTCGTCACCGACCTGGCCAGCCTCGTGCGCGACAAGTTCGGCTTCAGCCGCCGAGCGCGGATCAGCCTCTTCCTGGACGGGGCGCTGCTGCCGCCCACCGAGAGCGCCCGTCTGGTGCGCGACAACGACTGCCTGCGGTGCGTCCTCGTTCCGCGCCTCCTGCTCGCTCCCCGGTTGTCCACGGCGGGCAAGACTGGGGCAGGTGGGCGGTATCCCCGGGCAGCAAGGGAGGCACATAGTGCTTCGTGGTATTGGGGGGGAGGGGAGTATTTTGTGGTGAACCTAAGCCCCCCCCATCTTTCGGCGCAGGGTGGCAGAGAGCAGATGCCGAAAAGGAGGGTGAACTAGGCGTGATCATGGTATCCCCCCTTCTGTCTTGCAGCCTCCGGGATTTAAGGTCGAGGAGGTTGGGACTTGGAGGCAGTGCCCCTCACTCCCTTGCTTGATAGCGACTGCACCTTTTCTCCAGAAAGATTTCATAGACATTAGGGCTGGAAGGGACCTTGGGAGATCTAGTCCAGCCCCCTGCTCCAGGGATCAAAGGATCCTAGCAAGATAGGAGTCCAAATGCTTCTTAAGAGTCCAGAGTAGGTGCTTGCACCGTTGGTGGCAGTCTGTTCCAGACCTTGGGGGCTTGGACAGTAAAGAAGTTCTTCCTTATGTCCAGCCTGAAATGGTCTTGTAGGAGTTTGTGACCATTGGTCCTTGTCATCCCTTGTGGCGCTCTGCTGAACAGGGCTTCCCCCAGATCCTGATGCTTACCCCTCATGTACTTATAGGCAGCCACCAGGTCCCCCCGAGCCTGCACTTCTCCAGGCTGAAGAGTCCCAGGGCTTTCAGCCTCTCTTCATAAGGCCTGTTCTCCTGCCCTCTGATCATGCGTTTGGCTGTCCTCTCGACTTGCTCAAG